CCGACTAAGTTATGGCTAAGTGTGTAAGTACCGACTAAGTTATGGCTAAGTGTGTAAGTACCGACTAAGTTATGGCTAAGTGTGTAAGTACCGACTAAGTTATGGCTAAGTGTGTAAGTACCGACTAAGTTATGGCTAAGTGTGTAAGTACCGACTAAGTTATGGCTAAGTGTGTAAGTACCGACTAAGTTATGGCTAAGTGTGTAAGTACCGACTAAGTTATGGCTAAGTGTGTAAGTACCGACTAAGTTATGGCTAAGTGTGTAAGTACCGACCAAGTTATGGCTAAGTGTGTAAGTACCGACTAAGTTATGGCTAAGTGTGTAAGTACCGACTAAGTTATGGCTAAGTGTGTAAGTACCGACTAAGTTATGGCTAAGTGTGTAAGTACCGACTAAGTTATGGCTAAGTGTGTAAGTACCGACTAAGTTATGGCTAAGTGTGTAAGTACCGACTAAGTTATGGCTAAGTGTGTAAGTACCGACTAAGTTATGGCTAAGTGTGTAAGTACCGACTAAGTTATGGCTAAGTGTGTAAGTACCGACTAAGTTATGGCTAAGTGTGTAAGTACCGACTAAGTTATGGCTAAGTGTGTAAGTACCGACTAAGTTATGGCTAAGTTTGTAAGTACCGACTAAGTTATGGCTGTCGACCCCATGATCTCTATGTCAAGCAGAGCCACATAACTAAGTGTGAGTAACGATTTAGCTCAGTAAAGGTTAGTCTCACTATTTTTTAGCGGAGCCACATCACCAAGTGTGTGAGTAACGATTTAGTTATGGCCTTCAACCCAGTGAAGGTTAGGTTACACTATGAAAACTCCTTATTTTTAGCGGAGCTACATAACTAAATGTTTGAGTGACGATTTAGTTATGGCCGTCAATGATGAAGAGTAACGATATAGTTGTGGCTGCCAATCTAGGGAAGGTTGGTGCAGACTGTAAACACCTGTTTTTAGTGGAGCTAAATAAGTATTGTTACATCTTTTAGCATTCGAACTTTCCGGGGTTATTTTTGGGCTGGTGAGTTTTGTTTGTTAAACAAACAAATTGTGGGACTTGAAACTCAGTAAGGTAGTGGCGACCATTTCAATCTAAGCAAGCTAACTGATTTAAACAGGCGCGCGGGGATTTTTTCTTGCACGCGCGTGTCACTCACGTTCTTGCCGCGCGCCGGTCTCGTAGCCATGCAGCGTTGTTGATGATCCGCAAGAGTACACGAGTTCGTAAACGGATTATTTTTATTATTATTATTATTATTATTATTATTATTATTTTTCCTGTACTTACTTTCATCTGAGAAGTGTGAAGGTGTGCATCTTCGGTGGACGTAGCGAGCTCTTAAAATTCAAAAGTATCGCGCTCTGGCCAATTGGAGCATTACCTTTTTTGTTTTTTTTTTTTTTAACTAAAAGCTCGAATCCTCATGTGGAACGCAAGAGGAACACTTCGTCCTAGGCTCATGACAAACATTTAGAGTGTTTCTTCATCACAACAACAGATTGTAAAACGCCAGTTGGCCTTGAGGATCGAAGAATCACCAACAAGCAGATGTCTGCATCTTCCCACTGGAATAACCATTATGCCTTCAACGCTCGTCTTAACAATAAGGCAGGGAATCATGGCGGCCAATTTAACTGGGGAGGGTGGTGCACCGATAAAGAGGATAAGAACCAGTATCTACAGGTAAGTATGTGTCTACTTTGCAGCTTGATATAGCAAAACTCCGTGTGATAACAACCCCTGTATAACGAAGGAAGGCCCAGGCATGATAATCCCGTTGTAATAGAGACATTGGTATATCAAGGGAACATGTAATGAAGCTTAAACCGTAAGAAAACGGATTCTTTGCTCCTAAGAACCCCAATCCCATATTTGACTAAGTCTTCTCAACATAAATGAAGGACTGTAACATTTATGGAAATCGATTGTTTGATAAGTTCTTACATCCTGAAGCGGCAGATCGTTTTCTTGTCATAATTTCTATTTCCTTTTTTTTTTTTTTTTTTTTTTTTTTTTAACGTGTACAATTTAACCGTAAGCATTGACAAAGTAATATCTAACCAGCTCTTTTTAGAAGAGGGTACTGTCATGAATCTTGTGTGCTGTATTGATGACTGTACTTACGAGTATTTTTTGCTTTACGTGACTCAGGTTGATCTGGGTCGGGTGCGGTCCGTGTCTGGTGTAGCAACTCAGGGCTACATGGCGGAAATGTATGTATCAAAGTATCACTTGAATTACAGTACAGATGGACTTACGTGGCGCTCCTACAGAGAGAGGGGAGAAAGCAGAAGCAAGGTATGAGCAAATACAAAAAAAAATATATATATATTAAACTTTGGTACAGATCAGAGCTGCACTGTTCCCATACAGTTTATCAACCCTTCAACTTCCACAAGTGATTACTATGTAACCGTTCAAAAATCTCCATACATCCAGCAAACAACCCCCCAGCCAACAGCTAATGAGAGTACTCATACTTATCAGGTGGAAGTTGTCATCTTGATCCGACACCAAATTCTGGTACCCAATTGACCGAATCAAAATATGGCGTCCAATTTGAATTACCATTGTTTTGGACTCGCCTTGACATGGAAACACAAAAGGATTATCACATGTGTGAGAGGCTAGTAAGGCAATTCAAATTGGACGCCATATTTTGATTCGGTCAATATACGTGGAACTGTGTAGCAGCTCGAGGGGAGAATCAATAATCTAGGGTGATTACAAGGGCGTAGCCAGGGGGGATCCTGGGGTGCTGGTGACCCCCCCTTGGTAGGTCTTCTTTAGAGCAATATCTTGGCCGTAAAAGCCATTGATATGAGTCTTCATGCCGCGATAATACGACTGAGCCCACTGATATACGCGGGAGAGCAGCGGTGTAAATGGTGAGTAGCCTCTGTGATCCCATCTTTGAAAAATCCTGGCTACGCCCCTGGATTACTTATTCATTGAATGTCATCGAAACATTCTGTTTTCCTCTCAGGATCCGCGAGAGCAGTCTTACTTTATTTTTCCTATAAAGATAAATGATTTTGCTAAGCTTTTATTTCTTCTTCCATTAGGTTTTCCAAGGCAACTTTGACAACGAAACAGTGATAAAGAGGTTCCTTTCTCACAGGATATTTGCCCGTTACATCCGCTTCAATCCTTTAGCTTGGAACGAAGGGGGCTTTATCTGTCTGCGGGTTGAGGTTTACGAGTGTCTTCCTACTAAAGGTATAGATAGATTCGTGGACGCCATTTTGTAAGGTCTAGTCATTACTAATTGAAAGCGGAATTATGCAAGGGTGTACTTAAATTTTGTTTGTCTTGTGCACAAATGTGATAGAATCTCAGTTTGTAAATCTTTAATTTAGTTTTTGTCGCTTGACTGAATACAAATTTTCTTACGGAAGAGCTAGATAGCATGAAAATGCAGAAGTTATTTTGCTTTGTTGACCTCAGGTCAAATCTTTTACGTTACCGAGTAGTTGTTTTTCAAGCCGGAGTCTTTTTTTAAACTCAGCTTGGTGCTAAGAGCAAAGACGTCTTTAAATTGATGTGCCTTCATGTTAAGTTAGAGAGCATTTCGATTGAGTGTCGTTACAACAAGTCAAAGTAATCTCTATAGGCTTCAGAGGAAGGGGAAATATTACAAGGAACTGATGAGATCATCTTTCTTGAATTTATCATTTGACAATGGAACTACTAATTTAAAAATTTGTACTTATGAACGCAATTTACAATAAAGAGTTTTATTGTCCAACTCGACTCATTATAATGAGCATCGTTAGTGGTTGTCCCCTTCTACTAACTATGCAGCAAGGCAACACTCTTTAGAAAACAACTATACGAAGGTAGGATGTAAAATGCGGTTTTAAATCGAGATAGGGAAACGTTAGATTGTGATTTTCATACAAAAGTCGTGTGAGTGTGTCAGTGTTAACATTTTTTAAGGTAAAAATAGGAAGGATGCTGTCCGTGACATAAACCTGATTGGATCTTTTACCCTCTTCCTCTCCTGTTTTCTCGCGTTTTCCTCTTTGAGTGCATGAGGCGAGTTTCCTGTTTCAGCTTGTTTAATAGGCACATGAAGGTTTGTGAACGCGTCAAGGGAGATAAATAACATTTTTTATCTCCAAAACTATCAGCATGTCTGTCTCTAAGTCCACTCGTGAGAGCTTGGCCGTTAACTCTTTAACTCCCAGAAGTGATTTAATATGTAACTTCTTCCTAAAATATCCCCTCATTACCCCGCAAACAAGTTATATCAGTACTCGGATTTATCAGATAGAAGTTATCTTGATGTAAGACCAAATTCTCGTAACTAATTCACAAGGAAATGTGTAGCATCAAGAGGGGAGAATTAAGAATCGGATCTTAGTTACCAATACTGGTTTAATCGTCCGTGCGAAACAAGCCGTCGAGTTTGTTGCTATTACTAATTCTTGCACCCTGGTAATTCCCATCTAGTTAAGACACATTTCCATTTATTTAGACAAGGTAATTTCGTCACACAATTTGGCTGATAGTTATTTAGTCTCGTCCCATAACTGCTTGGCGATTATTGCAATTGCTACGAGAAGTTACCTGTCCATCTCTTCCGGTGGTTATTGATAGAAATCAATTTTCTAACGATTGATGATGGAACGATCATGATATGAGGCTAACTGCTGACACTTCCGTGGTTTTACACATTAAAAAGAAATTCATAATCCTGGTTTACTAATCCGCTTTCCTTATGCCACGCCTTGTGCGATAAATCTTACATTAGTCACGTTTTTTTTTTTTTTTTTTCATACAGGGAGCGTACCGGAAGTCAATCCGCCAAGTGAGACAGTGGAACTCAATCGCACCAGTTCTGTCAATCTGACGTGCCTGGTTACCGGTCAGCCTGGTGCTCACATGGAATGGTATCAAAACGGACTTGTGATCCCCTCCCCACCCCCAGCCGGGGTCTTTAGTAACGGAAGTGTGAAGAGCGTGTTGACGTTATCTCGTGTCAAGTACAAAGACCGAGGTTCTGTGTTGTCTTGCACGGCCTGGTACCCAGGATTGCCAATCAACGCGACACGGAACATTCATCTTCTTGTTCATGGTATGTGTTTCCGATTTTTGCTTTTTTTCCTCATGAAATTGGAGCCTATTCTTTTTAGTGTGTCGTATGGAATCTGCTTTGATCTTTTCCATCCCAGATGGTTCCAATTCCCTTTTGGTTAGTTACTTCCTCTTTGGTGTTTTTATTCTGTAGGAGAACATTATTTTCTGGTTTCCTGCTCAGTTTTTAAAGAAAATTTCCACCTAATTTTTTTAAGTTAAGGTGACTGGAAACAGTTTTCCGAGATATCACTGGAAATCTTTTTGTAATCACCTTAACTCCTTTATATTCGCAAGTTTACACGTGAGTGGAGATGTGTGTACGGACCCTCGACATTGCTTATTTTATTTTGTTCCCAGCTCCTCGCCCAGAAGTGGTTATCAGAGACGTCCAGTCCAGGACTCTACTTATCCTAGTTAAAGACCCCACACCAACAGACACAGCTAAGTACCTTGTGCGCTACAGAAAACGCTCAGCTTACTGGGACTGGTTACAGGTGGAGCGAAACAAGACCAGCAGAGGTGATGATATTATGATCACTTTAGACGGACTGCATCCGTACACCACCTATGTTGTAGAAGTGGCGTCTCACTACACTGATGATGACGAGGGACCATTTAGTATGCCACATTCTTTTGAGACAAAAGAAGCAGGTGAGGATCAGGTTTTTTTTTTTTGTTTTTTTTTTTATTATTTTTTTTTTTCGGCTTGTCTGTTTGTTTATTTGTATTTTGATCGTGTTGTCTGGTCGTCCGGGTGAACATAGCTCTGAGAAGGACTATTGTTCCCCAGTCGATTCTCCTCGAATCTCGGCATGATGGCCTCTGCCAAGGTTGTCGAAACGTCAGTCAAATCTTCGAATAACAGTCCTTAGGAATAGCCTCACTCGGACGATTAGTCAATACGATTAAATGTTACCCCGGATTTAAACCGTTTTTTTATTGCTACTCGGAACCCGCAAGAATAAAGATCTTTGAATGATAAGGTTGCTTGTAGAATAATGTTTCAATCATGAGACTAGTGCAATCAATACAGAACGGTTCCATTATGGCGAAACCAAAAAACTTACACGTGTCTACACTAAGTAGCTAACAGAATGCATTTAGCCATGGGCATTTGGTTCCTTCATGAAGGTATGTTCACTTTGATTCAGCGAAATTCCCAATACGTGTTTCCCAAACAATTTGACAGCGGTAGTTTACCGTTATCTGGAGTGTTATTTTCCATCCTTCACCATCCTTATTCCTGATTAGTTTATCGGCATCTTTCTGCTTTTATTAACTACTTTTACTAAACCAATATTCTAGAATTAGTATTTTTAAACTGTGCCTTAGTATATATGCTTATTTCCATTCCTTCTCCTCTCCAGCCCCTAGCGGTCCACCCCGTGATGTGGTCATCATACCACGTGGTAAAAGCGACATTAGAGTGTCATGGTTCATCCCGAGCGCTGAGCACAGTAATGGAAAAATCGCCAGTTATGAAGTTATCTTATACAAACCTAACGGGGAAGTGGACACTTTCCAAAGCAAAGAGAAACTTTCACAGGACATCAAGGGCCTGGAAATAAATCAGAAGTACTACATTGGCGTGCGAGCCTATACAAGAGTAGGACCTGGGCCCTATAGCAAGAACATAACTTACTCAATAGGTATGAAAGAGAGAATACACTCTCACATCAGGTTCGGTGTTGATTAGCGAGGTCTTGACCCCTTCACTCTCCTGATTAGAATATAAACTCTCTGAACTCTACCAAGCAATTTTCATGATCTTAGCTTTGGGAGTTTGGTGTTTGATCAATCAAATCCCTTGGTTGTTATTTTTCTTTATTAGCATCACCTTTCTGCTTGAAAATGTTTTAATGACGCAAGGAGAGACTCGTTTTTGCTCACTCCTAGGAGTGAAGGGTTAACTCCTGTAAATTGCGGAAGTGTGTGGTTTGTATTGGAGGCTCAGTGTAGCGAGCCAGTCCAGTTGTTTGTTTGTTTCTCTTTTTCCCCTGGATGATCATTTGGTTGTTTTTAATTTACAGAGGAAAGCAGCGAAGGTTCGAAAATAACACGCGCTTTGGAGAAACTGAATAAAGTAAGTGGTTCAGTCTAGGTCAAGAAGAACTTTTTTTGGACTTTTTCTTCTTAGGCTTGTCATGCGATGCCCAATCTCTCTTCGGGAAGAAAGTTTGCCCGCTGCCGGACGAAACCGAAACAATATGGCGCAATTGTTGACAGTAAGCTGTTCATTTATTTTTCTTTCAGGTTCCAGTAACGGATGCCAACGCTGCTAAAGTTATGAAAGAAGTTAAAAATATTACAGCCAAGTCTTCCGACTTGCAAGAAAAAGACATTTCTATTACAGCAAACATTCTCCAAAATGTTGTCAAGACAAACCGGACGTCATCCGATGTCGGTGATCACGTGTTGGATACCATAAGTCACGTGATGGATGCGAAGACAGACGTGTTGCAGAAAACGCGATACAAGTACAACACATCTGCCAAGTAAGGGTTGAAAGAAAATTTGATTGAATAGTGGAATTGACGGGGACTTCAATTTCATTTGGACACCTTAAGATGATTGCAAGGCAGAGCTCTCTGTTTTTGAAATATTTCCAATTGTTCTGAAAAAATTTAATCCTAGTTGTTTGTTTCCGCTTCCAGATTTGTGAAGCTTCTTGACGAATACATCGATAAAGGCGGGCAATTTAGCAGAAGTACACGCAATCTGGCTGTTCACGAGCAACTCATCAAAGGAAACAGTAATGGGGTTAGCTTGTCAGTTCAAACCACTCAAAACAGTATCGGGTTTAACGCAAGTACAAACGCTTCTCGTGGAGAGAACTCGGAAAACGAAGCCAGTGTGACTGTACCCAATTCTGCTCTGAAGACAGAAGAAAACGCGACTCTGATTGTGGTGTACTATCGCACAAGCAAACTATTTTCTCCTCGATATTCCCCTGAACGCAAGACGGAGGTATGCGAGGATGGTTTTACTGCCGAGAAGGTGTCCAAATTCCAGCGGAAAGCGTCACGTTATACCATGGAAAACTCCACCGGAGATGTCATCACAGAGAGCAGCCCAGTCCTGGCGGCGAGTTTGAGGAAAAGACACGTGTTTAACCTGACCTCGCCCGTCATTATCAAGTTTAAAATGCCCCACGAACAGGTGAAGTATTTGTTAGGAATTGTTTCGTTAGTACAGAAGATGCGTTGTGCCTTTCTCTATGTTTTCTGTAGAAATTAGATATTTGTGACAAGAAATCAGGGCCCAGTAGTTCAAGGATGGTTACCGCTATCAAAAGGATTAATCGCTATCCTGGGAGTAAGGATATAAATGAATATCTCTCTCATTTTTTTCCTTTCTTTAAACAGATCATCGAAAAAAGCACTAGATGTGTCTGGTGGGATTTCAAGAAAGGTGAGCTCAAAATATCTACCATTACTTGACTTTAAAGCACCCAGGAACATCTTGTGAGTCGATTTGTGAGCTTTGAAAATAGGTTTTTTGTTTTCTGTGCGGACCTTGATCAAACAACGTTTTCTGTTCTTAACACTTTCCTTTAATCCTTCCTTTTATTGTTCTTTACTCGAGTTTAAATCCACTTTGGTGGTGTTTACTTTTCCTGGTATGCCTTTGTCATTGACTGAGAATAGGCCATTAGACAGTTGTGTACTTAGTTGCCAAGCCTTTGATTAGGAATGAGGCTGAAGGTGACCCTGTTGTGATCCTGGTATGCCTTTGTCATTGACTGAGACGCAAGTACAAACGCTTCTCGTGGAGAGAACTCGGAAAACGAAGCCAGTGTGACTGTACCCAATTCTGCTCTGAAGACAGAAGAAAACGCGACTCTGATTGTGGTGTACTATCGCACAAGCAAACTATTTTCTCCTCGATATTCCCCTGAACGCAAGACGGAGGTATGCGAGGATGGTTTTACTGCCGAGAAGGTGTCCAAATTCCAGCGGAAAGCGTCACGTTATACCATGGAAAACTCCACCGGAGATGTCATCACAGAGAGCAGCCCAGTCCTGGCGGCGAGTTTGAGGAAAAGACACGTGTTTAACCTGACCTCGCCCGTCATTATCAAGTTTAAAATGCCCCACGAACAGGTGAAGTATTTGTTAGGAATTGTTTCGTTAGTACAGAAGATGCGTTGTGCCTTTCTCTATGTTTTCTGTAGAAATTAGATATTTGTGACAAGAAATCAGGGCCCAGTAGTTCAAGGATGGTTACCGCTATCAAAAGGATTAATCGCTATCCTGGGAGTAAGGATATAAATGAATATCTCTCTCATTTTTTTCCTTTCTTTAAACAGATCATCGAAAAAAGCACTAGATGTGTCTGGTGGGATTTCAAGAAAGGTGAGCTCAAAATATCTACCATTACTTGACTTTAAAGCACCCAGGAACATCTTGTGAGTCGATTTGTGAGCTTTGAAAATAGGTTTTTTGTTTTCTGTGCGGACCTTGATCAAACAACGTTTTCTGTTCTTAACACTTTCCTTTAATCCTTCCTTTTATTGTTCTTTACTCGAGTTTAAATCCACTTTGGTGGTGTTTACTTTTCCTGGTATGCCTTTGTCATTGACTGAGAATAGGCCATTAGACAGTTGTGTACTTAGTTGCCAAGCCTTTGATTAGGAATGAGGCTGAAGGTGACCCTGTTGTGATTGGGATCAGTATCGAGTGAGCATGATAACAAATTAATTTCAAATTAATTTCCATTTAAAAAGCAGCAACGTTTGTATCATAACAAGGTCTCCCTTAACCTCACTCCTGTTCAAAGGCTTGGCAACCAAGCACGCAACTGTAAAATGGACCATTACAATTGTGAAATTTTTAAATACTTGTAATTATGTTTATTCTCACTTTTGTTAGATGGATGGTCTACTGCGGGTTGTTCACTTCGAGGAATAGTTAATGACACCGTCATTTGCTATTGTGATCACATGACTAACTTTGCAGTCCTGGTGGTGAGTATCCTATTGTAAATCCCATCCGCCCTTCTGTCTTCCATCTAAGGACACTGCCTGTAAGCATACATCAAAACACGGATTGGAACACCCCCTTGTGGCAAACACAAAGCCATGAAACACATGAAAGCACATGAAAACACATGCAAACACATGAAGCCAGCCCCTTTACCCATCTTACCCTAACATCAGTATACATATTCTCCATACTGTTTTCTATACATTTCTCATGGTTCCGGTAAGGAGAATTTGTGAAATGATCAAAAGCTTCTTAAGCTGATGAGACATGTTTGATTCAGGGGTGATACTGTACGGAGGAATTAGATACCAGTCTCTTGGGTTAAGATTTAAGTTTCTGACACTGCTCGTTTGTGGACTGTACCCCGACTTTTTGTTTGCCCACGGTAGGAGCGACTATTTGTCACATTTGAAACATGGATTCTCTGTTATTGTTTATTTGTAGGATGTAGAAGCTCACACTTCGAAGGCTTGCGGCAAACACTCCATGGTATTGTCACTCATCAGTTACTTCGGATGCGTCTTGTCTATTTTGGGATTGTCGCTTACCATATTTACCTTTTCGTTTTTCAAGTAAGAATTTTTAACTTGTCAAGCATTTCAGTTTAAAGTCAGACTTTTTGTACATTGATAATTGTCTACTTGTAATAATGATGTCTTGGGGTGTGTACTAGGTGATTCGAAATTAAACTCTTCCCAACCCCAGTTTGGGGCAATTTCAGCCAAAGCTCTTGAGCAGTTTTATGCTTTGCAACATAATTCTCACAAATGTCAGTCTGTAGGCGAAATCTTTGTGTAACTGTCTCGCTTAAACCCTCTTTTTACTGGGTAAAGTTCGATATGTTGTTTTGAGATGGTTGCAACTTTTAAATCTGTGAATTTTACATAGTGTGACCATTAAGTTAAAAACAATCTAACACAAGTTTTTGGCGGGGTTAGTCACTCTTTAGTATAATGTGGCTCTATGTGTCCATTCCGTGTAGGTGTGTGATAGGTAAGGAAAAGCTTCTGAACAGCTTTCTCAGCTTTTTTCTCCCTTTATGATTGTACAAGATTAGGGTCTTGACAATTTAATGCACTTGTTTTTAGAGAAGTGTTTAAACGATTTTCTTTTTCAAATCCACAATCACAGGAAGCTTCGAAAGGATCAAATCGCAGCTAAGATTCTGCTTCATCTGTGTGTCTCGCTCCTGTGTGTGCTAATCGTGTTTGTCGCGGGGGTGGAGAGGGGCGGGATGGCAGAGGACGCCTGCCGGGTCGTAGCAGCCCTAATTCATTACTTTTTGTTGGTGGCGTTTCTGTGGATGCTGATTGAGGCGTATTTCATGTACCAAGCATTTGTTAAAGTATTCAGAGACTTTGGGGATTACGTTATATGGAAGTGTTCTGCGCTGGCCTGGGGTGAGTCATTTGTATGCGTCATTGAAGAAGTTAAGTCATGGTTTGTGGATCTTAAAAAGTACAAAATCTTTCAAGTTTGTCTTTGGCAATCGGATTTAATCTTCTCGATCGTTTACATTACTTTTTACTTTTGTTAAACTAATGTTTTTAGGTTTGCCTTCCGTGAAGTGAATTTAAACGTTGTACAAAACGACTAAAGTAATTGTGGACAAGAATTTGGCAATAGCCTCGCGCAGTTTTGCGTTGTAGTGCGGGAACATGTTTTGATACGAAACGAAAAAGTTTGAAACATACTTTTCAATTGTGAACAGAACTTCTCAAAATACAAAGGACGCTTTACAGTTATTTTGTTCTCATTTTGTAGGAGTGCCTCTCCTCGTGGTTCTCATAAATCTTGGCGTGGATAAGAGTAGCTATGGTGGAGAAAACTAGTAAGTGTTGCAGAAACAAACGGCTATCGATTGAACTAAATGAGAACATGTTGTTTCAGCCTAGCCCTTTAACTCCCATGAGGGACCAAGACAGAATTTCTCCTTACAACATCTGTTTACAACAACAAGGGATGAGAATAAAGACAAATATACCAATTAGGGGGTTATTAGTTGATCCAATGTCAAATTCTCAGATTTAACTTCATGATTATTGTATAGCAGACAGCAAGGAGAATTACGAATTAGATCTTGGGAGTCAAAGGATTTAGAAATTTAGAACTTCAAATATTTTCAGCTCCGGACAAAAAGTTCCGGTTTTGATATGAGCGTAAGGTTACCATGCTTTGTTCTTCGATAAGGGAATTTTTATACTCCCCTGCCTCCCCACCCTGGCTTTTTGCAACAGAAGCAGATATAGCTCAGGCAGTAATGCGAGCCAATCTCGCACGCAGGCTTTGCCTTTACTTAGAGCTTTGTATCATTCCATTAACGTCTCTCTCAAGATACTTAAAGATGAATTCGTGAAGCTTCGTCATCAAAATACCTAAAGGATTATTGCTGGTTAAAATATTTTCAAGAAATGGAGTGAGTTTTTTTCTTGAAATTTTAATGTGTTGAGTAAGATCTAAGGTTCTGTAAGACTTCACAAAAATGCAAATATTACCGTGTAAACAGGCGTGGGAGGGGAGGCTATGAAATAGGCATGTTAAAATCGCGCAATTGATGAGACTGTTTTTTCTTTTTCTTTTTTAAGTTGTAATTATTACTTCGTAGACAGACGTGGGTAGAAAAGAGGGTCTGAAATAGCCCTCTTAAAACACGCACTGAACAAAAACTTCTCTCTTTTGTTTGTTTTTTCAGCTGTCGTATCGGGGACGTTGCATTCTTTGCCGCTTTCATGACCCCTGTGGCGTTTGTTATTTTCGTCAATACCTTAACTTTCCTATTAATCATGTATAAACTGGCCACAAGACCACCGAACGCCGCCGACCCAGATCGCACTAGTCAAGGACTTCTGAAAATCAAAAGAGCATTTGGAATTCTTATTTTAGTCGGTATCACTTGGATGTTTGGATTTTTTGCTGTTAGGGAAGCCCGTCTTGTCTTCCAGTATCTTTTTGCGATCTTCAACAGTCTTCAAGGCTTTGCTATCTTCTTGTTTTATTGCGTGATCCAGAAGAAAGTCCGTGAGTGTTGGTGGGCGCTGCTTACGTGTAATCTGGGCAGTCTAAAGAAGTCGAAATCTTTATACACGGACTCGTACGATCGTCGGAGGCTGTCATCCGCCAGTAGGGTTCAGCTTGATGCTATGAGGGCCAGGAGTAACACAGCATTGTCTCAAGTGAGTTTTTTTTGTTTTTTTTTTTCCCTAATTCTGAATTTCTGAAACCATCTGGATTGTTAAGGTAGTTACATGTAAACCGCTCGCCGCGATTGTCTGTATCGGCATTTCCCAGTTCCTCACCTGTCTCCAACGTAGTATCTTTTCCCTTCATCTGCGTTTGTAACTGTCTCCCTTTCTCTGCTTTCCTCTTCTAATGCTACGCTAACAGCCTCAGTGGTAGCATCTTTGATGCGCCCTCCCCCCCCCCCCTCCTCTGTACGTCTTGTACAAGTGAACAAGTTGATCGCAACCTTGTTACTGTTTAATTTAAGACTAAGATACAAAAAGTCCAGGATTTTGAGGGGAACGGGGGGAAATTTTAACAAGATAATTCGGTTTTATCAACTGAGTTGATAACGTAAATTGGCCAATGTAAAGAGTTTTTAAGCTGATCTTTTGAGCGTTAGCCCTTCTTCCGAGCGAATGGAATTGTACGTCGGTGAGTAAATTTTACTTAATGATAAATTCGTTTTAATTTTAGGTCCTTCAAATGCCATTACGGAAAGTTAGCAGTTTCCCAGATGTAATCGTGTCGAAAGGTTCTGCGAATAACGTAAATTACCATAGCAACATGGTTTACGAAGACGAGCGAACGCAGCTTCCAATTGTAGCCATTGAACCAAGCGATTATCAACTGAGTGGAAGTGAAGGAATAGAAATTGACGAGTCCATGGACGAACTTTCATCTCGTTCTGCTTCCAGATCACCCAGTCTGCAATCACGCTCGATTACTGTCACGCAGTGTGGTGAGCCTGTCACGCATTCTCGTGCTCCCAGCATCCGTAGTTGCCAGCTCACTGTGAACTCTGAGCATACGACACCAAAATTATTCCGGCTACCAGTAAAACGTATAAATAGTCAGCGATCAGTGGGAGCTCTGATTTGGCCAAGGGAATGTATGCGTGCGAAGGAAACTCTTAAAAGGACTGCGTCACACACTCCTGAGGTTCAGAGACCAGCGAACCCTAGCTCCTCTCTAAGAAGAACTAGGTCTGCATGTTCATTCGATGACGCTCGATTTAGCGCAGAGTTTAGTATATGCAGCGATCAGACTTCATGCGAAACGTTGAGTTCAGAAGCTCAAACACCCACAGTCAAGAAGTACCTTGCAACACCGTTTGAAAACCTCGGTAAGTTTGATATAAAAACTAAAGTAGAAATCACTATTTTCAATATCGAAAACGAAACGGTTCATAGGTCTTTTCTTAAGTGAATGAAGATCGTCTTCTTTTCAGCAAAAGTCAGTCACTCCCTTTACCCCTCAGAGTTACTGGCTTCTAAGTTTTCACCCTGGAGTCAAATTCAAAGAGAAAGAGAATGGAAAAAGCTCCTAATTGTCGAACGAATTCTCCTTGGGAGTACCATTAGATAAGTCAAGAGGACAGCGTGGAGATTATGAATAATGATAATAATAATAATGATAATAATAATAATAATAATAATAATGATAATAATAATAATAATAATAATAATAATAATAGGGTGTAAAGAGTCGGAACACCACGCCGTTTCATTGGTTACAACACTATGTGATTTCATCCTGTGAAACATCTATGTTCTACAGTTTCTTACATTTTACACCGTTGCTTCAGTTCCACCCGTAAGGGGGCACCTTTGGGGTTAGAAATTGTCCTAAGAATAGAAGTTTCCCTGAGACGAAAAGGTAACAGGTGCAACTTTATTTACTTCAGACCCAAATAAATGTCTCTCAAAAGAAGGTGGTGTCCCAAAATAGAGGTTCCTCTTTTTTGATAGTTTTATTTGTCTATTCCAGGTACGCAAATTATTGGACCGCAAAGAGGTTCAATAAGAGGAATTGTGGGATATGTTGAAACAACTGTAGAGAATTTCGACCTTCTGATTGACTTGGAGAAGAAAAGGTCACTTTCATCTCCTGAGCATTCAATTCATCACGTGTGATACTAGTAGTGGAGCTCTAACCTCCTCAATAGACAGCATTGGGCCGTGCCATTATTTTGTTAACTTTGGAAACGAGTTGACGATGTTGAGTTTAATCTTTGGCACGTGACGTTACATAGCGCTGCGTGACAATTCAGGCATTGGTTGAGATTCACGATTAGCTGGTCACGCAACAGAGATGGCGATTACTAGTTTGATCCTGTTTTTAGGAACGCATCTCTTGAATCGCCTTATAGAATCTTCTTTGTCAACTGGCTGACAATTAATTAACGGTTGCCAGGGAGTTACTAGTGTATCATTGTCACGAAACATTGCACAATGGACATTAGACACATTCACGAGTTTGAAAATAGTGCAGAGAACGTTTTGCTGGCAGATGGGTACCTACGGCTGCTAAAGATAATGGTGTATCACTATTGAGCGGCCTGAATCAGTTTTTTTTTTTTTTTTTTTCGAGTGCCCTAACCAAGAAAGAAATAGAATGCGTTTATGACTTCTAAGCCTGTGCTTGTAAATATTAAATTAATGTAAGCTATGCCTGACTCACCTGCGTTGGTTTAAGCTGGGAAGACAGTTGTTTTACTCAATTGGAATAACTGTTGGGAATAAAGAAATTACTTCTCGCTCTGACTTTCGTTTTGTTCTGCAAAGTCGTTGTCAACATGCAGTCGAGCCTATCGCGAAAGGACACCTTGTAGGCTAACACCAAATGATGCTTATAACTAGTCAGAACTGGCCAGTCAATTCTCTAGCATGCTTCCATATGACCGTAAAGTAAGTTTAAAATATATGAGAAACAGTGATTGGGGAAAAAAAAAAAAAATCTGTTGGTAAATTCTCACCCTAAGAGAAGCAATCCCATCGGCCAACGCAATGCACAGGATCTATTAGAAAAGAGAGTAAACTTTTTCACGCTGGCAAATGATCGGCTGAATTTCCGGCGCGGAGTGACCAGCATATTTTTTACGCGTACATGCATGCGTAATATTTTTTCGAATTTTCCTTTGTCATACTTTACAATTATTCCAAGAGCGCGCGTTGGATATGAGAAGATAGGGCCTGTAAGCAAACCACGACGGCTACGGCAACGAGAACGTGGAAAAACAATAGATCTAATTGGCAGAAAGATAGCCCAGCACGTGCGTTTTAAAACTTTGTACATTTCTTAGCCGTCCTTTGCAAAACAACAACGTGAAATCACCAAAATTTGCGTCGTCTGCGGAGCGAAACCGCGGCGGCAAATTATTTTAATTTACATTTGGAACTCAACACTACTTTTACGCGTTACGTTGAGTTTGAGGTCTGGCTCCCTATGAGACGGTAAACACATGCAGCCATTTTCGAAATTCTAACTAAAAGTAGAAACTCATTTTTTAATCGACGTTTTCCGTGGCGTTGCCGTCCTGACTGCTTAGGCGCGCAGCGCTGAGTTGGCTTTAATCATCTCATATCCAATAAGTGCGAATGGAATAATTGTTTTATCAAAAAAAAAAACGCCCCCAGGATATAAGACAAATCTTCTCGACTTTATTTTGTAAGAAGAAACCGGATGTTACAATCAATGTATAGATATTAGATTATGGCATATTGGCTCATATATCCTAATGGCTAAGCCAATAAAAAGCCTTGAATTGCATTATCCAATGATCCAGTTTTTAATAATATTCGATATTCGAACAACGATTCTGAGGCAATTAAAATTGTAAATCGTGTATCTTTGGTTTGCCAATGAAAATCTAATCGGGACTGTTTGTATATAGTCGCCATCAAGCTAGTTGATGATAACCCTAGCCCTAACTAGGGCTAGGGTTAACTTGATTTATTGGGTAAAATCTCACGGTAGGCTGCATTACAGCCAAATATAACATAAAAAATAATCTAAAATGATAATCAAAGTGTAATGTAAACATGGCTACATGTTTATACAATTATGGATTTCTTAAACAACCCTTTCTGGTGCCTCTCGGTCAATCAGTAAATAATTCCTAACCTTACACTAAATAAAAGGAAACTAGAAAGCTCCCAAGGTTTCGCGCCAAAGTCTATTACACAGACCGCCATGTTTGAAAGCAGCGAGAAGGGCATGGAAACGAAGTTAAATTTTCGCGCCAAAAAACGCGCTTGCAGCAGACAGAGCTGAATAACGTATACGCATGCGCCAGATTTTGCTGCAGAAACACGGATTTTGGGTCGTTCGCATGGTTGATTTCCTATTCTGTTGCTTCGAGGGGTCGTTTTCCTTGCCGCTTTTCTTTTACAGAACAACCTCCAAAAATTTGGTAAACCCCCTAATAACTTTCAAAAATTAATTTTCTCCTTTAAACCTTTAGAAATAGGAAAGTGCCTTCGAAGAAAACTGAGTTCCTCGGTTTTAAAGGTCAGCCCTTATTATTTTCCGCTAATTCCGCTAAATTTTAGACCTAGGAAACTTGAGCCCGCGTTGTTGACCACATACCCGCTGACCTAGCATTTGATAATTCAGCTCTGTCCTTGCAGCACGTATGTTACGTATTCTTTTATTGTCACGAAACCGAATGAAACCGAACGAAGCAAACTCTAAAAATCGAAGTTGTATTTAACCCATCACCCCTATGGATGACGGAGAAAATGAGTTGAGGTAAGAAATGAGTGAATCTGCTCTGAAAATATTTCCTTGCAGAATATAACAACATTGTACAGCTAGAGAATTTTTGCAATGTTAAATATTTGATATTTAAGGCAAATTGAACAAGCGTTTGGTTCTACAATTAAAAATGCGATTAAAAAAATTCGTCCTAATGAAGTGTAGGTCAAATTTCTTCTTATAATATATACAGACTCGTTCTTATACGCGTCTAGGAACATCTTGAACCATTTATTGCGCTTCTTGGTACTGCATTAAGATTTTCTCCGTTTCATTGACGACATTCGATCATAAAAAGTAAAGCTTCTGTTCCTTTTTTTTTGTCATCGTTTAATTATTCAACACCTAAACCTACTTGGCAAAGCCGACCTTTTCAAAACTTCAAAGTGATTATTTCCCCGTAAGCAGGAAAAAATCAAACGAAACTACACGAAAGGTTTGTCCGAGGGACCAGAAATTATTTTTCAGCTGAAAA